AGACGTATTATATGTGTTTTTACTCTACAGGGACGATTGAAATGTTTAAAGGACTCGTAAAATAGCTAACCCGCCCACTCAATACCGAGGAATTACTGACAGTGAATACAGGACGTCCTCCACCTTCCTGCTTCTGCAGAAGACTTAATTCAGCTGTGCCGTCGGTCACATCGCCTCTGAAAAGGAATTCTTGCGAAGGTCAGTTTTTCTTATTAAAGTAAGTGGATGGATGAGACCATTCTACGGTCACAGAATGTCCTGCCCTCTTCTCTTTCCTCTTCACATTATTACTGGCCATGGGTTTATTCAGCTGATGTTGTCAGCAGCATATTCAAATTTAATATGCTGCATATGCAGCATATTAAATTTGAAGATGAAGTCTCGGCAGAAACTGAATGGTTCCAGAGAGCACTTCACCTGAGACATTCTCTCAGGCTGTGGAGTTTCAAGAAATTTCTCTGGTAACATGTTTGTGGGAGTCATTTACTCCGCTCTCAGCTCATGACCTCCACGCTCTCCACCTGGCACCTATATCATACTCCGTGGCCCCGCTGGCTCATATATGATTCTATGTCTGCAAGAACAGGATCCGTATAACTGTAATTGTTCCTCCCAGTTCTCCGTATAATAATAAACTGTAAAGTGTACCCCTTCAAGTAACTTATGCGTCTTAAGTGGTAAGTGCGCTGACAATGCGCACCGGTGACCTTGGGTTTGTCGTCCTCATCTACGTGAATCTACAAGAATCCCCTTTGTTAGATACACCTTGAAAAATAACTTTCCTCAATTAACGTAACAACACAGACACCTGGCAGCCATCTGACTCACCACAAACTTTGCTAAAACTTGATAATTAATACTTGGTTGCCCTACAAACATCCCCAACTACCGGAGACTCTGCAGGTCTTCGGTCACCAGTCCAGAAGCGAAAGTGCAGTGCAGAAGAGTCATTTTATGCTACACATAACGAAAAACCGTCAACTTTTTAATTAACATGAGACAATACTTGGAGAAGACACCCTGTTCTCTTGTTACACACTTTTTCACCTCCAGATGACCACACGTGAGATATTGAAGTTATTTCTGTTCTTGTTCTCGTTCTCTCGTTCTCCTTCTGTTGTTTCCACTTTCTTTGAGCCCTATAGCGCCTTCTGTGCCCCATATAACTATAAGAAAAAGTTACACTAATAAAGAAATCTCTGCCGTCGACTAGTCATAATCTTTTATAATTTGGTGGTGATATTCATATACCATATTGACGATGATGATCATGAGTTATTCATTGTTACTTCAGTGTCCATTCATTCCTTCACTCTTACATACTTTAATTCTACACTGACCCTCCTAATATTTTCATGTCATAAATTTTCTCTTTTTTTCACTCTAAAAGATTTATTCTGTGTAACCTAGCATGTATGATCATATTTTTGTGTATATTGTAGTTTAATTTAATGATATTCTTCTTCTACAGTATGTATAAAGAGGAGGGCGAGTGAAAGAGTGTTCGCATTACCTCTGGAGCAGGGACCCACCCAACCCCCATCTCCTGATGTCCAACTAGTCCACCAATCAGCTCCATGGTTACAAGACTACTATCCATTCATTCGCCACATGTGCATCAACATCAATACAGAGGTAAAGCAACTCTATTAGGCTATTTCTGTCCACTTTGCTAGCAACATTTGTAAGGATTTTAGCAAATATTCGAAATGTGAATATTATTTACCGTAGACTTATACTGGGATAGTGATGCAAGTACTTCTGAACTATGGTCCAGATTTTACAGGGTAGTCAAAGAACAATGGCTCAGACACTGAGTCTTTACATAACCTGACTTGACCTAACGCAACCCAAATATAGTAAAATTATTAAACTTGGACCTAACTGTCCGTGATGAAGGAAAACTGAATCTACTGACATTAATTTTCACCTAACTAAACGTATCCAAACACAACACAACACACTACTACTTTGCTGTCACTCAGAATCGAGTTTGACTATCATCCAGCTATGATACAATGATATGAGTTAATGAGGATGTCACCTAGGTTGGTGAGTTTCAAGGTGACGAAAGAGGCCGACATGGGACCGGCAGGGTCGATCACAAACGTTGCACATGTGGATGGCTCCACCTAATACGGGAGGGGTGGCAGCAGCGTCTTCCCGGCGTTGGCTCTTGTCTGCCTGAGTTTACAGTAGGGCTAACTCGTAAGTTTTGACACCTTTTCGTGTGATGCTCCTCCAAGCGTTACAGTGTGGAGTAATGGTCTCCCAGGTGAGGGAGTCGATTTGGCACTTTTTCAGGTTTGTCTTAAGACTATCCTTATACCCTTTCCGGTGCCCGCCGGCGTTACGTTTCCTATTCGTTAGGTGACTGTAAAGTAGCTGCTTTGGTAGTCAACTGTCGTCCATGCGGGTAACACAATAACATAACATAACATAACACTAGAGCAATGTTTGTGCAGTTCTGTAAAAAATGAAAACCGAGACAAAGATTTATATCAACAGTGCGGTTTATTTTAGTTATGAATACATTTGAGTAACGCGTCCTGGTGGCTGGGCCTCACCTGGCTCATATCAGGTAAATAGTCATAAAGTTGTATCAATACGGATTATTTGTATTATATCTATTTTCTATTAATATAATTTCTATGCCAGTCATAGCCATTAAGTTCACTGGCTGTATTGTAAAATATTGAGTGTATAAGCCTCGTTGAGAACCTGATTACTAATTCTGATGTAATTACTGTTATACTGTAGTTAGTGTCCTGGGTAGTTAGTCATTCTCAGCCTTTATCTTTTATTTAGTTGTATAATATAGCAAGATGAGTTTGATGGTAATATCTAATTAACTGAAATAACACAACAAATTTAACTCGCATTTATACATGAGATTCACTGTTTCATAAGGCTGGTTGGTATTGGGTAGATGTGGAGGAATATGGTTGTAAATAAGTGTAATGGTGGGGAATACAACATGGTAGAGCCTCTTGCGCAACCCCAATGATCTGTCTGTCTATCATGTTAAGGAATGTTCTTAGTGGAAGGCTTTGTGTGTCTGCATGCCTAGAACAGATGTAGAATGAATACTACATAAGTTTGCTTTCATCATCCTTCACTGTGATTTATTTCTGATTCTCTCTCTCTTTTTCAGATGAATTCACGAAAGCGAAACAAGAAGAAGAAGAATTAAAGAATAAAAAATATCTGTTGTACTTCTGGTCCGTGAGAGATCTGCTGGAGTCTTCTCAAGTGGTTCATCAATACCAATACTAACCCAAAGATTTTGGTTGTGGGTTTGTGTTTAGGAAGACCTTGTTTGTGGGTTTGTGTGTGGGAGGTACTTATGAGTGTTAATGTATGTGTAAGTGCGTTTGTTTGTGTGGAAATCTTGGGTGTTTGTGGAGTTGTGTCATGAGTTCTCGCTTCTTTTACGCTTCTTTATGCATTTAGTCTTTCATTTAAACTTAATATTGTCTCCCACATATAATTTTTGCTGTGATTTTTAAGATAAATCATTCTGTAATTTATAGCTCAACAATATAGTTTCTCATCTGACTTTCCTCTGCCTCTGACGATATACACATGATGATATAATGTGTTTTTTTCAATGGGTAAGAGATCTTTTTATCTGTCATAGTGGAGGTGATATACTGACGTGTTTGCAGACAAGTGTTGAAGTGGCAATTTAGTTTGGTAATTCACTTGGAAAATAGAAAAAGCCTCGAGTTGTTTGCAAATGTTTCTGATGCTACATTTCACGGTTTATCTGTGAGGAGTGAAATGTAGGCGGCAAAGTTATTAGTTAGATCCGAGTTATTGGATGTGTAGAGACGTCCTGTGTATAAGTTGTGTCATGGTTTGAGGACTCAGACGCACACACACACACACACACACTGTTAGTATATAGAGACTTGACTGTTGCCTTATATACCATTGTTATTACTAATGCTAATATACTCGCAGGATTCTATTCATACTGGTTTAATAATTTGTGGTTTTATTGTTCCAGTAATATTGTCCTGGCCGATGTTCCTTTGTTTTATTCCCTTTGATATATGTTCAGTTGTTCTGGGTCATATTTCCTTGGTTAAGGATTTTATTGCGGCAGCATTTAATATTACTCGTGTGGACAGGTCAATGGCTTAAACTACAAACCACGACTGAATAAGGAGAGAGAGAGAGAGAGAGACCCTGGTGATGGCTTATATCACACACCAGCAGGATACTAACAACCTCGCTGTTTAATCCCCAATCTTGCACAAGGCCATTATTATTATTATAATTATTATCAATTTTCCATCTCTAGTCTTATTCTACACCACAGGGTTAGTTTAAGCTGGATTCAATCACATTATACACAGCTTTCTACGTTTCAGAGATACTGTAATAGCCAGAGTCCTTGAATGACCCTAAGTATTATAAAAACAAATGCTAGGAAGGTCAAAGTTCAGTTCAGTCCTTGTATAAAATGGATTTTAACTCTCGTCTCTCCAGTGGAAGTTCGTGACCTGAGGATTCCGTTCACCTGAATCAGTTCGCTGCATCACCCACCGACTCACTGCCAGTCAGTTGTTCAGCAGACAGTAAGGTTAGTGGAGCAGAAAGTGAGATTACTGTTGCAGAAAGTGAGTTTACTGTTGCAGAAAGTGAGTTTAGTGGAGTGAAAGCGAGGTTAACGGAGCAGAAAGTGAGTTTAGTGTTGCAGAAAGTGAAGTTATTGTTGCAGAAAGTGAAGTTATTGTTGCAGAAAGTCTGGTTAGTGTAATTTTAGTCTTTATGAATCCAATCTAGTTGATGTGCTTAAGAGGCTGAGGGTGTGAGACTTGTGAAGGAGTTTGTTATAGCAGGTTCAACTTGTCGTAGGAGGCGGTGCTCATGATAGTGAGTCCCTGGGTATATATATGTTATTTATGTTAGGGCTAATTCAGGCAAGCTTAATGACACAACTTACGAATTAGATCGCTGAAACAGTCATGGAATGGAATCAAAACAAGAGAGATATTAAACCATTTTTATTCCTTGAAAAATATACATGTACACAGAGAAGCAATGTGGAAAAAAATAATGTCAAGTTGCGGAATTCGCTTTATGTTTCCAGTTTTCTTGAGAAGTGTTGTCCTGAGGAAAGTTGTAACGCTGGAGCTTTTCCTGAATACCTTTGGTCATCTCATCACACAAGGAGGAACACCCATTGCTATTTTCTTCAATAATGTTTCCTTCATCATCGTTTGCTTTATTCTTTTCATCTTCCTCTCCGTTAGTTTTAACCGAGTGTTTCAGAGTTTGGGGGTAAGTGGCAGCTTGCACTGGAGTTACTTCTTCTTTGGACACTTCAAGTTCAGGCTGCACCTTATCCACCTCTGACTGCTCTTTCACCTGCCCTTCTTCCCCTTCCTTCCCTTGCTGTTCCTCCTGCTTCAGCTTCTCCTGTTGAGCGTAGTATATGGCTGCTTTCTCTCGCTTGGTCTTCACGAGAATACGGTGGCCGGGACAGTCGAGCCCCTCGTTGTAACATTTGACCCTACAGCAGGCGCGACACAGCCCGTGAACACAACGCCCGCCCTGGAACACAAAAACACACTGACATTAACATACTACACACTAGCTTCCTGAATCATACTCAGTTCATTCTATTATAGAATTTTTTAACAGTTACACCATATGATTCAATGCTATATGTTCATATTACTTGCACTGCACTTCGATAGATTAATGTGTTTTGTTGTGGATTTATAAACATGGGGTTCCTAAATTTACAGACATAAACAGAATCATTTTTTCTACACATACTGTATGTATACCGTTGCCTCAAAGTTTTTTCTACCCCTTGTCTTGACGTTCGAGTAATCGGTCCTCCCCCACCATCACACACCGGTCCTCCTCCACCATCACACACCCGCCCTCCCCCACCATCACACACCCCCTACCACACCATCACACACCGGCCCTCCCTCCATCACACACCGGCCACCTCCCCACCATCACACACGACCCCTCCCCACCATCACACCGGTTCTCCCCACCATCACACACCGGCCCTCCCCCCACCATCACACCGGCCCTCTCCCCACCATCACACACCCACCATCACACTGATTCTCCCCACCATCACACACCGGCCCTCCCCACCATCACACACCGACCCTACTCCACCATCACACACCGGCCCTCCCCCACCATCACACACCGGCCTCCCCCACCATCACACACCGGCCCTCCCCACCATCACACACCCGGCTCTCCCCCACCATCACACACCGGCCTCCCCACCCATCGCACACCGGCCCTCCCCCACCATCACACACCGGCCCTACCCCACCATCACACACCGGCCTCCCCACCATCACAACCCACCATCACACTGATTCTCCCCACCATCACACACCGGCTCTCCCTACTCATCACACACCGGCCCTCCCCACCACACACCGGCCTCCCCCACCCACCACACACCGGTCCTCCCACCATCACACACCGGCCCTCCCCACCGCACACACACCGACCTCCCCCACCATCGCACACCAGCCTCCCCACCATCACACACCGGGACCTCCCACCATCACACACCGATCCCCACCATCGCACACGGCCTCCCCACCATCCACACACCGGCCTCCCACCACACACAGCACCACTCCCTCCCCACCATCACACACATCCAAACACCCCCTGTGGTAGGTTTGTTTTGAATTTGAAGTTATTTCCTTAGTCAGTTAGATATTATGTTATATAGTGACCTTCTAGTAGTGATTCGCTTTAATTCAGTTTGGAAGGTCGTGGTTGACACATTGAGGGTGAGCCCCACATGTGCCGCCCTGGTCAAGCCACAAGTAAATAACACATCGTACACCTTGGCGGGCTGAGCATTATTCAGGGCACGCAGCGCACCAGTCTAGTCCACGCCAGTAACCTCAAAGGGTCGGAGATCACCCACCCGAATTTTGAGTAGAAAAGGTGGGAGAAGGGTCGAGTGTTGAAGGTTTTTCTATTGCTTATATGAATGTCACGTCTTAATGATACTCCTAATAACCTGCTGTACTTTGGAAACACAAAACATCTCGGCAAATTTAGCCAATCTCAGGTACATTGCCATGAAGACACTCCAAGCGAACTTACTTCACCGTGAGCCAACACGACCTTGGTGGTGGTATGGGGGCTTTTAACCTTTCAGGGAAGACTAGATTCAGCTACACTATCCGCCACTGTCAGGGAACGAACCCATCCTGCAGGTTCAAAAGGATCTTTACCAGCTCAGGGGTCTTCTCAGCGCATTCCCTTGGCAGACAGGGACACTCGTTCTTAAAGTGGATGGACTAATTTAGTTCAGTAAAAGACACCTTTATATAACGCTTTTTGTCGCTTGGCTCCCCTTAATTCGTATTGGGAAAAGACCCTTTCCATATTAGTAGGATAATTCTTTCTCGACATTTTCGTTATCTACCATAAATAACATTGTGTTCTGGTTCATTTTACTCATATAACTAATATGTTATCTTAATGTATTAGATGATATCTCATTACGGCTGTGAGTAAGTTATGGTATGACGAGTATAATCTTTCTCATGGTTGTTATTCTTGGCCTAGATGTGAGCAGTAATGGTTTGTTTGTGTTTTCTAGGAAATAGCTTACCGGTCCATTTGTTTTGAACGTTGAGTTCCCTCAGGTCGATCGCTTTGGAAAACCAAATCACATAATTAATTAAGTTCACATACTTCTACTATCTGTTAATCAGTTTAACAACAATGAGTCATCACAAATTATACTCCCTGGAGCCTGCAAGTTGTACTCAATGATTGTCTCTGATTCTCTTTGTAAATCATCTTACTCTCAGTTCATACAACACGCAGTCCCAGGCCAAATCTAACAACATAACTAGTACAATCTTGGTCAAGATTATCATCACGAACACAGTCGTGGATCACGCTGATATTATTTCTCCGTTCATATAAAGGCATTGTGGCTCCACTCAGTAACTGGCGTGTTTCATGATACAGTTTACTGAGCACTTTTAATAAGCCACACTGGAGGAAGAATGGTGAGCTTGCTGCACCAAATAGCACCATAAGACAGGTGGGGTCGCTGGGCAAAAGTTATTTCGAATTATCACGGTCTGAATCTCTCAGTTCTATACTCAGGAATGGCTAGTTAATATTCGCGGTGATGGCGAGAGGATTTTCAAGGAATTTTAACAAATGTTTCCTAACTTTTGGGTTAAACTCTGCCCTGTGAGGAGGTAGTCACTGACACTGACCGAGCTCATGATACTACAGTCAAACACCGCCGACGACGCTGCAGATTTACTCTCACAGAAAAGAAGCAAATGTTGGAGGTAAGGTCACTAGTGGCCGGGAACAACACTCAGTAATTTCCTGACACAAAGATTCATACACAAAACAACACACACACTGACATATTGGATAAGAACCTGTCCACACCAATATCCTCGACGTGTTTTGAATTATCAAGTAAAACTTCATATCAACACAGCAGATGAGAGTCGTCCTCTATGAAGGAGAATCACCTACCTTAGGGTTCCTACAGCCACATTTCTCATAAGGGTCGTTGGGAGGATCAAAGGACTTTCTCGGGTTCCTCGCCATCTTTTTCTTTTTCTTCTTTGACAGATCCGTCTCTTCTGACTCCTCTGTTATCGGCCTCTTGCTCGGCTCACCTCCACCGTTGCTCTCACTAGGAACAAAGAAAAAGATATTTGAACTAAACAACTGTTATACTGTACAACAAATAACAACACCCACATAAAGTACACTGATCGCCACCATCACTTCCCCATACTAATGTTAAGCTGAGGGTAACAGTGAATGAGTAACACTACCAAGAACATCAGGGTCGTTCTTTATGACTCAACGAAGTAATTCATATCTTCTGTTCGTAAATATACTGTATATATACCTGTGTGTGTGTGTGTTATATGGAAAAATACGACATAACAATAATTACTCTATATTTCATTTTCCCAAAGAGAGTGGATACAAGAGGGGCGTAAGGTGAGCGACAGTCACAGCTGAAGAATTTACCTGTCATTGTGATGGAAGACTCTGTTAAAAGGAGAAGTGAAGAGAGGAAAAGCTACGGATTATGTTGAAAGCAATCTCAGACTTTACATAGCAACAGCGACCATCACCATTTTTATTATTTCAAAAGATCACCGGGAAAGTTGCAGCGGGATGGCAGGGAGAAGGGGAAGCCATGAGTATTCCAATAAGTGAGTGTAAGGTGTTATTGTACTGTGTTGATGAGTGTTAGTTTGGGAGGATGAAGTCTGGCACGTGGTATTCCTATTTACCCTAGATTATAATGTGGTATTTGGTATTGTCATGTTTAAGAGTACTGTTCATGGAGGGAGTAATTGGAGACGTGTGTGTGTGAGAGGTAGGGGGTAAGATGGAGGAGGGGGGGATCTGAACATCTCCCTCAAGTCTTGTTGAATCACAATGGTAGTACAGTACTTCCCTTCTCTGAGTAGTTATTCCCTGAAACTACATCAACTCTCTAACCTGGAAACTGGTGTCGCCTTGGTGGATGAAGGAGAGGGGAGGGGGGGAGGTGAGAGAGAGTACCTCGCTGCCTCTCTCCCCCCAGCACTTCACCCTCGCTCTCAGTGCATCATAATGGCTAGGAGAATGAATTTATGTGCGTCAAGTTTATCTTTTTATCTTTAAAGTTAAGGAAATAAACATTGAACAACAACTAAACCTGTCTTCAGTGTTGGCCAGTTCTTCCTCTTGCTGCATTTGTTGTTTTTCCTGGGCGCGGCGCTGACTCTCATGAATCTTTTTCAGGTGTTCCTCAGGGGGAATACGAACATAGGGCTGACACAACCAGGGGGCCATTGGTAGACGCGCTTGTTCACCATCCGGCTCCGGGTTCCAGGGTTTTTCACCGGTGTAATAGGGCATCATCCGGTCTTTGAGGTTTTGTACCACTACCACCATCTCCTCCGCCGACGATGTCTTGGACAGTCGGTACCGCAGGTCAAAGTTCTCACTCATGCACAAACTGTTGAATATGTGAAAATATTTATTCTCCACTTCACATATATGTTGCTCTAATCGTTTCTCCAAAATGGTTTTGTTACGAAATGACATTTTTTTTTCTCTATAAACTGAAGCACAATTTGATCTTCACACGATTAAATTTCTTTTCATAACAGGACTCTTCAACATGTAGACATACAGTACATGAAAAAAATAGATGAATCTTCTAAAGGAGAAGATAAAACATACTTATGGTTACATAATACTCTGAAGTGTGGACTTACCAGTGATGAAGGAGCTTGAAGACATGTCCCCTGGCGTAGCTTGTTGGGCAGGGGTAGCGTATGGCCAACTGGAGGTACTCAAGGGCCATTTCCCAGACAGGTGGATGAGTGCCTTTGAAGATGGCCGGGTTGTGAAGGTTCCCCTCTGCACTCATAACACCGTCAACACCAGTAGTGGCCAGGCAGCGCTCCACGTCCTCCTGGTACTGTATGTTACCATTGGCCAGCACGGGAACACTGACCGTCTCTCTGCACCAAAGAACACAAAACTCTCCCAGTTACCATCATTAACGGTTCAGTTCTGGTGCCCCTATTATAGAAAATGGATATAAATTCACTAGAGTCGGTGCAGCGAAGAATGACAAAAATGATTCCGGGACTTAGAAACCTTCCATATCAGGATAGGTTAAAGAAACTTAACTTGCATTCCCTAGAAAGACGAAGAGTGCGGGGAGATATGATAGAAGTATTTAAGTGGGTGAAAGGAATCAATAAAGGGGATATAGATAAAGTTCTTATAATATCCGAGCAGGATAGGACTCGGAGCAACGGATTCAAGTTGGATAAGTTTAGGTTTAGGAGGAGATAGGAAGAAACTGGTTCACAAATAGGGTGGTGGACGAGGAACAAGCTTAGCAACTTTGTAGTAAGTGCGGGAACTCTGGAAAGTTTCAAAAGGAGGCTAGATAGATTCATGGATGATAGAGAGTGGTAGTAACTCTCGACAGGAGCTGCCATGCACAGGCCAACCGGCCTATTGCAGACTCCTTATTTTCTTATGTTCTTATGTACTCACAACAGCTTAATAATTAGTTAGTGAGAGATAAGAAATGTGGCAAATACACACCTGAAAAGAGGAGCTGCCACTATGAATAACATCTGACACCACTTGATAAGAAGACAATATCGTCACGGTAAATAAACATATAGTAAAGTATCAGTAAAGTAACACATGAGGTGGAGTACTAACCAGACCATCAACACACAACAAAATGACAACAGCAGATACCTAAAAATTCACCATAATTAAGGGCACGAGATACAACACCACTCTAATACGGTTCTCTGTCTCTATAAACGCCATAAAAGCAGACAGAGGTAAGACCCAGTTTTAAGAGACAAATCATAAGCACCGCGAGAAGCCTGTGTTCTAGACAGGCCCCTGGAGGAGAGGTGGAATATCTTCTTGTTAGGCCTGACGAGTAGTGAGACAGTAATGGTCGCCCTAACCAGAATACGTAGGCTCTTTGCCCACCACCTTAATGTACAGCGTGTTCTCTGCTGCCACCACACACTCAACCAGGCCAGCCTGACTATGATGCTTCTGCTACAGTGATATTATGTGGTGGTGGTGGTGATGGTAGTGGTGGTGTAAATGCGGGCTTGTGGTGGTGGTAATAGTAGCGATGATGATGGTTTATGATTCAGAAGGTAGCATTTATAGTGAATGGTAGATGTAATAGCAGAGGTTATGGTGATGGCTAGAGGTGAAATGTTGCTGTGGTAGGTTATGGTAGAGTAAATTTTGACGGTGTAGAGGGAATTCTGGTTGATTGTGGTTAATGGCGAGAGTAGAGGGAATTCTTGTAGATTGTGGTTATGGTGGTAGTAATGGTATTTACAACCCCTTGAGTACGATGACAAATCACTGTACCTGAGGGGTTAACGTTAGTCTGTTGTTGTCTGTAGTGATGTCTGTAGTGATGTCTGTAGTGATGTTTGTTGTCTGTAATGATGTTTGTTGTTGACTGTAGTGATGTCTGTTGTCTGTAGTGATGTCTGTTATTGTCTGCAGTGATGTCTGTTGTTGTCTGTAGTGATGTCTGTTGTTGTCTGTAGTGATGTCTGTTGTTGTCTGCAGTGATGTCTGTTGTTGTCTGTAGTGATGTCTGTTGTTGTCTGCAGTGATGTCTGTTGTTGTCTGTAGTGATGTCTGTTATTGGCTGTAGTGATGTCTGTTATTGGCTGTAGTGATGTCTGTTGTCTGTAGTGATCAGGGCCGGACTCAGGAGTGGGCAAAGTGGGCAGCTGCCCAGGGGCCTCCACAATCTGGGGGCCTCCTCATGTACGGTAGTAGCTATATCAGGGCTGGTCGACTTGAAACCACATGAATGACTCCAGTCATGTCTCACGTTTGTGTGTGTGTGTTGGGAATTTGTACACTATCAATAAATATACAGTTAATTAAAAATTTCTCAATGTTTTAATTTCCTCAATATAACTGCATATGGCTTCAAAATTCTCCAAAGGAGTGTTCAAATTTCAAAATTTTCCCGGGGGGCTTACAGCGTCCCCCGGAACTCCCAGATGTTTAGGCTCCCTTCACTCGCCACCCCACCCTCTTGGGTAGTTATAATGAGGGGGGCCTCCACAAAGAGGCTGCCCATGGGCCTCCACAGATCTAAATCCGGAACTGGACATCACCCCTCCCTCCGTCCACATATCACCCCTCCCTCCCTCCACATACCACAAATTTCCCGTTTTCTATAATCTGCTTTGGAAAATATGTTATCTCCCAAAAAGTCGATAATCTACTTCCACGAAAAGTCGAAAGTCTACTTTCCCGAAAAGTAGATAATCTACTTTTCGGGAAAGTAGATAACCAACTTTCCCGGAAAGTAGATATTTCCCATTTTCTATGATACAAATTTCCCGTTTTCTATGATAAGTAGATAACCAACTTTCCCAGAAAGTAGAAATATTTCACATTTTCTATGATACAAATTTCCCGTTTTCTATGATAATCTACTTTGGAAAACATGTTAATACCTCCCAAAAAGTCGATAATCTACAT